CGAAAGGCCGAGGGGGCTTTGTGAGGGTTCTCTTCCCCGGCCTTCCCTTCTCTCCGTTTCCTGCAAAGTCAGCTGAGCAGGGCTGTCCCAGGATCTCCGCTTGACGGACGTGCTCTGCTCCTAAGTCACCCACAGCGGCTGTGGCGCTAGGTTGCCCCCCGTGCCCAGGAGCCGAGCCTCAAGGACTCTGGGATCAGGACCCAGCCTAAAGGAGCCCCCCGCCCCCCGCATTCTCAGCCCCTTGACGGGGATGTCCTGCTTGGTCCCCTGCCCAACATTCACCGGGTTCAGGCCCCTGAGGACCCCAGCTGCCTATCGCCCCCCACCCCCCTTGGGTCTGGCTGGCCCCGAGGCTGAGCCGTGGCAGCTGTCACTCGTGGCCCAGCAGGAGCTCACCCTTCAAAAGGGAACCGGCTGCTTGCCTAAATGGGTCAGCCTGCCCTGTGCTTCGATGCCTGGAGGCTCCTCCCTGCCCTGGAGGGAGTCTCCATCTGCCCCCAGGGCTTGCCCTCCCCTTCAGACCCTCCAGCGGCTGAGCAGCCACGACTGACGCCTTCACCAGCTCTTCAGAAGAGGAGAGATGAGTGGGGGGGGCAGCTCTGGTGGTGGTGGGGCCCTTCCCGTTCTTGCCTGCAGCCACCACGAGCCTTACCCTGAAAGCCCCGGTGTTTTGCCCTGCCTGCCTGCCTGCCTGCCTTCAGTGGGACTCTCCCGTCTCCTCCTCTCCCGGACTGTCTTAGGAGCAGCCCCGTGGTCCGTATCAAAGAAGAACCCCCGAGCCCCTCGCGCAGCCCCCCCGCAGCAGACGTCAGCCCCGCGGGCGCTCCTCTCTCGCCCTCGGCTTTCATCGACTCCATCTTCCAGGAGGACCAGCCGGGCAGCGCTTCCACCGCAGCTGCTTCGACCCACAGCACCCGAGCTCAGCCACATGAAAAGTGCCTCAGCGTGGCCTGCCTCGACAAGTAAGCGTGGGTGGGGCTTCAAGTCTGGGGCAGAGGGCCCCATCCCCGCCCGTGCCCTGCCAGACCCGCGCCCGCTCCACTCTCAGGTTTGCTGTAGCCTGTCAGCCAGGCCCTCCCGTTCAGAGTCCGGCCAGCCTGAGGCGGACCCAGACTTGCCAGCTGCTGAGAGGGGCAGCCCGCGCTCTCGGATGTCCTGCGCCAAGCATGTCCGGCCAGGGGCTCTGCTCCCCCAGAGCCACATGTGCTCAACCCCGTGGGTCTGTTTCTGCGTAGAGCTGCCGACCCACAGCTCCTTCAGAGGAAACCATCTAAAACTCTGGCGCCACCAATGGCCCCACAGAGCTGCAGGACGCCCGAGTGCCGTCTGGGGAAGTTCTGGATTATCCTGGCTGGCCTGACTACCCAGTGAGGCCCAGGGCTCTGGACAGCAGGTGGACACTGTAGGCCCTGGGACGGTGCCACGTCCCCGGGAAGGAAGCTGAGCTTGTGGGCGCTCTGTGAATCCCCGAGAGCGTCTGCCGCTTGCTCTGCACCACTCTGTGTCAGGGGAGAAAAGCTCTTCCTGCGCCAATTAAAGCTCTGCCCCTTGGATCCTGCCTCCTCCTCTGGAGAAGTGCCAGGCCACCCTGGTACAGATCAGCCAATGTGGTCCGGCGGAGGGTCGGCTGTCTCCAAAGCCGAGGGCCGTGCCCAAAGGGAAGGTGCCTGCTAGGGACAGGACATGCCGCAAGCTTGCCCACACCTGGTCCGAATGCATCGCCTCTCCCGCAGCCGCAGCCACATCCTGCTGCTGCT